GCACAATGTATTTAAAAACATAATTTCAGCACTGTATAATCAAATGTCCAAACCACTGCTCTAGTTTGTTGTCAATCAATAACAGAAAGTAATCTTTAATGTTTAGTTGGCAACAGTGAAATTTCCAAGTGATATTGTTTATTTAGTCTTTTTACCTTTACCTATCCCTTAGTCTGTTGGACCGTTGGAACTCCTGCAAGATTTGTCGACCGTCTTTCTCCATTCCTCTTTGTTTTTTTTATCATTTATTTTGTTTATTAATTTCAAAATCTGATTTCCGCCTTCTCTATTAGACCTAGCCTACTTCTTAAAGAACGTAAACTGTATTTCAAAAGTCAAAATGTCAACAAAGTTTACATTACAGTGATTCATTTTTAGTCTTATTTTTCACGCTTCGGATGTTTCTTTAGATTTGATTTGATTTACTATCCGGGATCAGCGTGAGCAACCAAGGAGAGGCCCAGAGCGCATGTCACACGACCATACAGTCCCAGTATAAAACTCACTTAAAGTTGGGATTGTTTTAAATTTCATTTTTTTCCGAATTTTTTTTTTTTTGGTGGAATTTGTTTTGTTAACAATTCTCTTATTATTGCAATTATTATTAATATTATTTCTTCTATTAGCTTATTGTTTTTATTTAACTAATTTTATTTCAAGTAGACCTAGAGATCTAAATACTCATGTTATTGGCAAAGGCGTAGTGGGGGGGGGGGGGGGGAAACAAGAATGGAAATGATGCCACTAAGGCAGAGAGGCCCCCCAAAAATATTGTAGATATTTTAATTTGGTAATACATTCTAAGGTTATTTCTTTTATATTATTATTAAATACTTTTTATTTATAAGCCATTATTTCTATGTGATGTTCATGGAAAATGGAAGGGGTGGGGGCCTCCAATAAAATTTCTTGTCCCGGACTCACGTTTCTCTCACTACGCTTCTGCTTATTGGTTACATAAACTAACAATAGCCAATCTCGTAGAATACAGTATTGCCCAGCTTCGTTTAGGCTCAGCGGCCGTAATGTAGTTTAAATTTCACTGTCGCGGGCCATATCGCCACAAAAAACAAAATTAAACCAAGAAAAATTTTTAAACAAAAGAAAAACTTAAAAAAAAAATTATATTGCGTGAAATTGTATCAATTATTTTGACTCGATCATGTATAAATGAATTTTTAACAGATCCAGACTAACAATAATGCATTAGTGCGATTGGAGATATTCATTTTCGTTACCACATCAGTTGTGCAGGTGTCCGCTATAAAACGGCCCCTTGAGAATGGGTATGTGAATAGTATCATCCATATCTCACCCCTTCCCCAGTGCAATGGACTCGGTCCTTAGGCACTCCGATGTGGAGTCTTTTCAATCTTTTCAGCTTCCATGTTGGCCTAATGGTCTCCTCTAACGACCGTGTCCACCCGGGCACCACAATGAGGCTAAGTATTGACAGGACAAAGACTGCTAGGTAAATGGAGATAGGATCAAATACAAATGACGTAACAAGTAAAAATGCCGCAGGGAAAAAAAATGGAAATAAAAAAAAATGTTTTTTGAGTAAATGTGGAATGTCGGAATTCGCTGCTTTCCTTATCTTAACGGAACTAACTTGAACTAAGAAATTACAAAGAAGTTAAGAACAGTCATGTTGAGCTTCATAAATATAATGAAATGGCGTTAAATATTTCAAGATAGATAACTACAATTATTTTGTTCAAACTTAAGACTGACAAACTTTATACGATTACCTCCCTTACCTTACGATAAACTATGCTTTTTATTTAGTGTACACATTTTTTTATACCTTTATCCGAAGCTTTAATCATAATTTTCAACAACGACTATGTACAAGAAGATATTACAACAAAAAGTAGAATGTGAAAACTTCAATAGCCAGTTACATAACATTGGAATATCCATCCTCTATCTGATAGATTTCAGATGTTCCTTCAACAGTGAAGATAATTACGTCCGACATATTATATGTGCCAATCCGACCATAAATGTTAATCAGTAACTTAAACTCTACCACGGCGTTGGCTTTCCTCAAGAAACTAGAACAGACTCAAAATTGAGCCGTGAGATTTAAGCAAACGAATATTCATATTTGACTAGCGTTATCACCAACAGAAAAATCACTAAATTTAGACACTTTAGGACAGAAGACAAAGCAGTAAAGTAGTAACACTGCATGGGACACTGAATTCACATACAAATACAAAACATAACCTAATAATATGTTCGGAATGACAAAAACATAAAGGCACATTTCTTATTCCATATGCTAAAGCGAATTCATGCAAGTACTCCTTCTACTATAGTGTCATTAGAGCATGGAACGGATTATCTGAATCAGCCAGGAAAGCCAAATGAACCAGCAGAGTTGAAGTCTCTAATTCTCTTGCCCGACTACATTTGTAAGCCTCCATGATAGCTAGGGAGGGGGAGGGGTCACCCAAATTTGAAAATCCCCCCTGGGCCACCTCTTGAGGGGTGCCCCCAAATGAATGTCCGAAACTTGTTTTTATATTAAATATTACGCCATTATCTCATGTCATGATGTCAACATGCAGGGGCCCCTAAAAAGGTCAAGCCCCAACCCCCCAAATCTTTAGCTACGCCACTGCTACATGGATAATAATATTCTTTTTTCTAACGAACATGTGTAATTTATTAGAGAAGACAGTTATATGAGTTTCATTTTTTTTTTTTTTTTTGGTTTAAGGAAAGAATTTGATATTTCGTGGTCACATTGATGATGCTTTGAATGAAGGGAATCTCCCGTGAAGGTTGACATGTCAACATAACCCAGTATTTTAAAACAAAACAGGTCATGAGATTAAAATGCAGCAAAATGTGAAATCAACGAATTGCTTCTTGCCCCAACAATATGGAATATGTTTAGGCGTAGAACAAATTTGTACGAGCGCTCCTTCTTCCCTAGTGCACTTAGAGAATTAATGGGTTGCCTGAATCAGCCAGGAAAACAAACGACTTAGCAGAGTTTTAAGTCATCAATTAACATGCGCGACTTGATTGGCACATGAAACGCCTTGTGTGTATACATTACTATCTTTTTTTTTTGTTTGTTGTTGAAGTAACGTCTGTAATATAAAGGAATAAGATAGGTGTGTAGAATAGTCGTATGACACAAATGACAAACTAGTGTTTGGCCTACATTTAACTAAGGAAGGTGAAAGCATTCTGAAGACGAAAGATCCGCAACTGCATGAGCAAACATTTTGTTACATGTAACAGTCAATGATATAATAGGTAACGATGGGTACATTTGCTACGACCAGTGTGCATTCATAATTCATTGTGTTTTCATACATCAAAGGGCAATCACTATGATCATGAATAATATATTTTTAAAAATAATATCGACTGTTTCATCGTTTGAACAGTCTGGAAGCCTTACATTTTCCGGGAACTGTAAAATTGTTCTTCTACTTCTTCGTTCTCATTTTTTCATGCCGGAGGTTTCAGATCAGTAATCCTATATATGAGGTGAACCGCGCAGTGGTTTCCACTCCAGATCTGGCAGTGTATAGTTATTGTTCTATAGGAGGGTTTTGGGGCCAGGGATGAAAAGTATTATTCTGCTTCGTTGATTCAATAGTTATAGTTCCTAAGTGGTATTTCTTTTTAAGGTTCTGTGATTCCTGAACAAAATAAATTCTTTTTAGTCGGTTTTGGGTGCCAGTCTTGTGGATTTTGGATTTGAGTTGGTGCCTGTCTAAGGATACTATTTTTTTTTAAAAATTGGGATAGGTTTTTATTTTTCTCTTCTTTCATACAAAGAGACCAGGGGCAGCTATTTCCTCCATGGTTCTAATGGGGGTCTTTGTAAACTTGTTGGTTTTGTTGCCGTTCTGTTTCTACGGACGACGGTTAACAAGTACATTAATGTAGGACTCATGAACCCCCCCACCCCCATTATAATAATTCGCAAGTTTAAATCAAAGTCTACACCTGGATTTGAAAGCCAAGCGATTTGCCATTTGACACACGACATTAGTGTACATGTACTAGAAAACGAAAAGGTTAACTATAACATTGTACACATTTTCAGCAGCTCATTACCATGTGAACTTTATTTAAAAACAAAGTATAATGATGATGCCAATACATTTGTGTTTCATTTTTCTTACTAAATTTCATTCTTTGATAAAGATATAAAGTGAATTTAGTTCGGCAATGAGCAATAACAATTTGTAAAATTGCTCGATTCTGTCTTTAACTACCAGATGAAAATGAGAAATATTTAAAATATTATTTAAATATCATTTATGCTCCTAGAATGCGTGAGAGCTTTTGTTTAACTGGGTGTGGGTTGTTGAAAATCTCTGTTTCACAAATCCATGTCAACATGGTCATATCTTTTTCTATTGGAGTTGGAACGTCCTTGTTTCAGTGTGTAGAGTAAACTGATCTATCTTTCTGTACAGTCATTGGATCAGGATTTCAATCTACATGTTTCTCCTCTGTATAATGAGACTTTCTTTTTCTCTTTCACTTTATAAGGTCACTTCCTGTCTATGGCAACAGATTCAAACAAATATAGTTGAACATTTAGATTTCATTATCATTCAAAGTTTCCTTGCAATGGCGAAGCTGCTGGGGAGAAATAGAGTTCTTCGTCATAGTGAAAACTTTTTTTTAATGAGAAACTTTGTGAGGCGTCTAACACGAGATAGTCATGTCATCCAAAGAAGTAAGGAACATTTCTACACTTACCCAATGGATGACTACAGATTAATATATTAATCCATTACCCCAATGGACCATTATAACTCAAGGGCCACTTCAACTCAATATAATAGTCCACTATAACTCAAGGGCCACTGTAACTCTATATGATAGTCCACTAATTCAAAGGATCATTACAACTCAATATGGACTTGAACTTTATGTTTGTTTGTAAGTCAGACAATTACCTTCACATTATTGACCAAGGAACTGATGAAGTCAAAGAGTAGAACCCAAAGCAACAAGTGAACACTTGATCAAACTTTTATTCAAATGAAAACATTGTTTTGTTTGAAATAGCTACAAAGTACAACATGTTAGCATTCACAGTCAAACATCAACATATAACACAGCCAAACATCAACATTTAAAATAGTCTAACAACATTTTACACAGCTGCACGACCAAAAGCCAATGTCAATGCTCTATATATGGCAGTGAGCCCTCAATGTTATCAATATGATTCAAACTATTTCAAACAATGCAACAAGAAGAAAAAAAAAGGAGTTATGGCACTTGAATAAAAAAAATAAATCATGAATCTCATGGCTACCATTCAAAATATCACATGCACAACTTGCGTACAGGCCAGGCACTTTTGACTGGTATCAAACAGCAACTCAGTGGAGACATAGAACACAGTGAAATGAGGCAGGAGATGCATTAAGACAAAACACATTTCCCCTAGGTGGATGTGTCTGTTGAGATGTGTCATGACAAGATAAGAACATTAGATAAAACTGTGGAGATCCACTTATCTCACTTTCTTTTATTACCCAGTTAACAACAAAAATAAAAAAATAAGATAATAAAGAATACAATTTTGAGCTACATCTCTATGAGCTCTGAGGAGTTCAGGCCTGAAGTTTGGATCATTGACTAAAGGCATTATCCCTGATGGTATGATCCATACCTAAGGAATGATTAGGGCCTGATTGATATCTGAAGACATGATCCGTATGATTGAGGCCTTAAGCCATGATTAGGACCTGAGGGTTAGATTGATACCTGAAGATAGGACAAAATGTGTCTTCATAAAACAAAAATATACACATCAAGTCTAAAAAAACAAATATACACAACCACAAGCTGTGAGAAGACAGGAACTCAACTTGGAAACTTAACAAAATAAACAGAAGCTTTAAGACTTACATTTGTTGAAATGAGTTCAGTTTAAAAATATCTTGACAGATTTTACTTCTAAACTAATGACATACACATATTTGTATATAAAATTTTAAGAATCCTGTTGATAAAAATAATATAAAAAAAAATAACAATACAGAAATTGTATAAAACTTTTTATGAAAACCTTTTTTCTTTCAGATTTCTGGGTAGTCTTTAAGAAATAGATTAATATATAAGAATATCTGTGTAATTCTTAGGCATCAGGAAGTAAATTGATACATCATTATCCAACCTTAGTTCACGTGTTGCACAACCCAGTCACCTTAGAACAGTTACACCTCATTTTAAAACCTTATTTATTAAACCTAGATAAACCTAGATGTAGGGTAAACTGTACTGCTAACTACAACTGAACTGTAGCAATAAACCCAATAATACAAAACTGTGGCCCTAAACAAAACTGAAATTTTAAGAGTTTCTTGTCAACTATGACACAACAATATTAACATTTGATTCAATAAATAACCAACTGAGTCTGTTAAGTGACTAGGTCACCTGGCTTCCTCTACCTCAGACTAAAGCACAACTGTTATGGATAGACAAAAATTAACTTCATCTCAGAAAAAATAACACCTTATCCTCAGGAACAAATTACAACTTATCAGGAACAAATAACAACTTATCCTCAGGAATAAATTACAACTTATCCTCAGGAATAAATTACAACTTATCCTCAGGAATAAATTACAACTTATCCTCAGGAACAAATTACAACTTATCCTCAGTAACAATTTACAACTTATCCTCAGGAACAAATTACAACTTTTCCTCAGAAACAAATTACAACTTATCAGGAACAAATAGTGCCATTGATTGTGTAACAGTAAGTATTAAACTTATAAGGACATACACACACACTAAGTCTCTTTGTTTTTACATGATTTAGAATCAATGGCAAAAAAAGGGGAGGGGGAAATAATGCAACAAAACCCCAGATGTTAACACAGAAATGCTTTGTTTTTTTAAATCTATGACACACTGGAAATAAAAGATACAAGGCATCAATAGAAAACCTACATTATACACACACCAAAGTCTCAATGTGGAACACATTGTACACACCACAGACTCTCTAAAAGGCAGTAAAAACTAGTTCCAGATTTGAAACACTTTCTATATTTATAGAAGAGACACCCCCCCCCCCCCTAGTAAAAAGAAAAGTAAAAATGTAAAGAGAAGAACAGATGAATGTTTCCCAAGTTGAGACCAACACAATAGCTTCTCTTGAGACTACATTGAACAAGAAACTTAATGCACTGAATCCCACATTGCATCCTGCTAGTTTTAAGTTGATATCATGTAAACTTTTGGAAAAAAAAATGGAATCAATTTTTTTCTTCAATATTACAAACTTTAAATCACAAGTTTTCTAGTTGAAAGAGAAAATGTACATCCTAAAGCAGAATCTCTTTTCTTATCCAGATAAATAATGTTATAGCCTCTAGGTCAGGAGTTCTCAACCTGTGGGTCGCAACCCCTTTTTAGGTTAAATGACCATTTGCCAGGGGTCGCCTAAGACCATAGAAAATTTCGGTTTCTCATCTATTTTTCATTGGAAGTTGTTTTTTTTTTCTTAAGTGTTGTAACAAGCACATTTATCATAGATGGTATACATTTAAGATAAACTTTTTTGTGTGTAATTTAAGCAAGTAAAATTAGATGATGCTTTTGCTATGTAAATAAATCATGGATGTCATATATATATTTACATTTAAAATTTGATTATGATTTTATAACATTAGCTAAATCATATTTAGGGTCTACCTACGCCTATGAACGAAATAAATTTTACGGTTGGGGGTCACCGCCTAGGGAGGAATTGTATTAGGGGGGTCGCTGAGCTAAAAAGGTTGAGAACTGGTGCTCTAGGTTAATGTATTTTCATAAATTCTTCTGATTTTGTCCTGATCAATTCTAGAGAACATTGAAATAGTACACACTATTGTTATGCACACTCACAACTTTGATATTTGATAACGATCTTGTGCACAACTAGGAGAAAACAAAATAAATCAAATATATCCAGTACAAACTCTGACCAAGACATGTTTGCGACTTTATAACAGTAATATTAGATTTATAATTTGCTTACACAAAATATCCCGTACAAAGAAATGCGGCATTAAAAATAAATAAAAATAATCATTAATAATTGAATAAACCTCAAGTGATTTTTCATAAAAAAGGATCTGATAAGAAAGGGAAGTAATCTATTTAAATATGAAAAAAATCTGAAAACAGTAAGAGTTATAAGACTTTAAAAATAAATACCGGTACATTTTAAAAAATCTAAACTTTAAAATCAGAAAAGACAAGTAAATATGAACTGAGCTGAATGGACAGGGTTAAAATGAACAGAAAAGATTATCTTTAAAGAAACTATAGTCTTGTAATCTGTATTTCATAAGTTACTAGACTAAAAACACTTGATTGGTGTAAGGTAGCATAAAGTAGTAGGCCAATACAACCTTGAAATATATATCTTTTCCATCAAAACTTTGTTAAAAGAGAGGGGGTTCTTATCCTATTTGACATAAACACAACTCTGTATAGAAAATAACAACAATGAAAATAGCTTCAATAGTTCAAAGTAATGCACATGAAAAGACATTAAAATGAATTAAACTATTTGGCAATGTTGGTGTGTACATACATAGCAAGGGCTCATCCGAAATGGTCAACAATCAAAATACAAGCAAAGAAACATGTCAGTTCACAGAAATACAAAGTTTCATGTTTGGCAGATTTTGTTTTCTTTACCAGTGTTATGGAGAGTGTGTGTGTGTGTTTCTATGGTGACAGTGGGAAGAAGATAGCGATTGGTTCTGAATGATGCAATATAGGTGGTATCTTATCTTATATAATACAGACGTTACTTCAAAAAAGAAGATGATTACGTCCTACGCGTCATGCATTTAGTCATGTATATTAACCAATGACTTAAATTCTGCCAAGTCACTGGTATTCCTGGGTAGCTCAGGCAACCCATTCCATGCTCTAATAGCACTAGGGAAGAAGGAGTATTTGTACAAATTTGTCCTAGCATATGGGACGAGGAATGTGCCTTTATCTTTGTGTCTTTCAGAGTATTTTATTAAATTTTGTTTTTGTATTTGAAGATTATGGTTCAGTGTTTTATGTATAATTGCTACTTTACTTTTGAGTCTTCTGTCCTGAAGGCTTTTAAATTTAGTGATTTTACTATAGGTGTTACTCTAGTCAAATGTGAATATTCATTTGTTATGAATCTCACTGCTCTATTTTGTGTCTGTTCCAGTTTCTTAATGTTTTCTTGACTTGAGAGGTCCCAAATGGAGGATGCATATTCTATTATTGGCCTAACCAAGGTTAAATAACATTTTAGTTTTATGTTCTTATTTGATTTATAGAAATTTCTTTTTATAAAACCTAATACTTTGATTTTTTTATAGTTTCATCAATATGTGGATTTCATGACATTTTTTAATTTATTATAACACCTAGGTATTTTGCATTTTTAGTCTGTGTTACTGGTTTGCCATGAATAAGATAAGTGGAATTAATTTGTTTTAGTTTTTTTGTTACTCTTAACAACTGACATTTTTCTGGGTGGAAAGACATGCTCCAATTTGATTCCCATTTCTGTAATTCATCTAATTCTCTTTGTAAAATATCTGTGTGTTGTTTTTATTCTATATATTATGCAATTGTCTGCAAATAATCTGACTTTTGTTCCTGAACTAATGCAATTTGGTAAATCATTTATGTAAATTAAAAATAGTAGTGGACCCAAGACTGTTCCTTGAGGTACACCTGAGTTTACTGTTATCAGTGTTGATTTAGAGCCATTTATTATTACAGTTTGTTCTCTCCCTATCAGAAAATCTGTAATCTACTGATGCAGTGGACCATTAATGCCAAAATATTTTAATTTTTTAAGCAAACAATGGTTGTGAACTTGTCAAAAGCCTTAGAAAAATCTAGTAAGATAGCATCTATTTGTTCACTATTATCTAAACCTTTAGAAAAATCATCAATTAGTCCTATTAGTTGTGTTTCACATGATCTATATTTCCTAAAGCTATGTTGGTATGGTGTGAGGACATTTTGTTTGTCTAAGTGGTTTATGATGTTGCTACATATGTGTTCTAGAATTTTACATGTGATGCTGGTAAGTGATACTGGTCTGTAGTTTCCTGGGTCAGATTTTTCTCCTTTTTTAAATGGGGGGGGGGGGGGGGGGGGTGACATTAGCTTCTTTTCAGTCCTTTGGTACTCTGCCCTGGTTAAGTGAAGCCTGAAAGAGTATTTTGAACACTGGGGCTAGCTCATTGCTTAGTTCTTTGAGTAATCTAGCTGGAATACCATCAGGTCCAGACTCTATATTTGGTTTGGTGTTGGCTAATAGTTTTTGAATTCCATTTTCTTGTACTACTATATCTTCCATGTTGTCTACTTGGTTCAAATTCAGTAATATGTATTGTCGTCTGAGGTAGGACAGACAACTCTAGAATGCAAGACTAAATAGAAGTGTTATTGTAGTGAGTTAGATTTTCTTTAAAATAACATTTTATATCATTCCTAAAGTCTAGAATATTTATTGCATTTCATCACAAGTTGATTTTATCTATAATTTAATAAAAGCTATATATATATATATATTTAGTTTTGCTCACAGTGATTTCAAGTTAAACTATAATACACCTACAGTGATTTAGCTGTCTACCAGCATTTCGGTGCTAGATGTCAATGAAGGACTACAACAACTAGTAACTCTTCTGATATTGATTGTGTCTGTAGTAAATAGGTACAGATTATGGAGTTGTGCAAGTTCTCTATTAAGACTGCCCCCCCCCCCTCCCCCAAACAATAAATGTAAACTGACTGCAGGTTCCCCTCAAAGTGATCCTGGATCTCTCATGACATTCTGTGTCATTGTAATTTCCCAACTCTCTTCCCTTTCAACTCTAACAACCCATAGACAAATATAAATAAATTCTTGACCTGTGCTTTGGTCATGTTTGGGTTTCTTCTTGATGAAGACAGTAACGAATATCAAATGCATTCCTTTATGAGCCCATATACAATATACATATAGCCCATATCATGTTTTGGACGAGTATCAAATACTTCCTTTTTATGAACACTGGTATTTTCAAAAAATGCCATTAGATTGTTTTGCTTTGTTTATCACTAGATTTTTTTTTGTTTTGTTTATTCACTAAATTTTTTTTTGCTTTGTTTATTCACAAGATATTTTTTTGCTTTGTTTATCACTAGATTTTTTTTTGTTTTGTTTATTCACTAAATTTTTTTTTGCTTTGTTTATTCACAAGATATTTTTTTGCTTTGTTTATTCACAAGATATTTTTTGCTTTACTTGTAAATTTTTTTTTAAAGTGTTATGGGAAAAATTTCTTACAGTAAAATATATATGTACAAATTTCCTCATAAAAAATTATGTCTACATACTGGGCATATCAGTGATTTTTTATGTTAATTTATATGTTAATTTATAAGAAACTGGTCTGTAATAATAATATCTCTATCTAAGGCAAAATTTGGATAGTAGTGGTAGAAGTAGCTTAAGACTATTAAGTTTTAGGCTATAGCAAGTTGGTAATTTGAGAAATATTTGAAAACAAAGCTGCACATCCAATAGAATGTAGTGAAAGAACATTTGTTCTATAAATATATAGTCATAAAAGAAGTCTGGGTGCATGTAGCTTGGGTATCAGTTTAAACTAGCAGAGTTATAACAAAATCTTGAGTTACTTCCGTTTGTAGTCAGAACAACTGGCACAAATCTGATACATTGACATTTCAAAGTTTCCAGATTTCAACTGTTTTCACTGGGCTAGTTATTTTATTTCTGTATAGTGTTTCCATGCTACCAGAGCTTGCTGAGTTCACTAAATTCCTATTGTAGAATGGGTATCATGGGAATACAAAATAATTTCATATTGAGAAAAGAATTTTTTTTTTTTATAGTGCTTCCTAGCTTGGCCTTTCTCAAAACTATTGAAACTGAAACTTAATGCACAAAACCCCCCCCCCCCCCCCCCCCCCCCCCAAAAAACTACAGCTTTTTAAGCTCTTACTTACAATCTAACCTTCCATTAAAATGGCTGTTATTTAACAATAGTAATCAGCTTTCACTAAAAGC